ATATAATTTATCTTTTGATGCAAATAAAAACAACTACCACTCGAAACAGTAGAATTAATATTAGAAGCAGACATTTCCTGAAAATAATTAAAGATCACTGTGAAATGGTGAAGCATTTTCAGTGCAGAAAAATATAAGCATTTAACAAAAAGAAAACCACATACATACACGACCTTTTCTTCTCTCACACACACAAACACACTAACACACACATGCATACCTAATCCCACCTCTCGACCACGCAATTCATTTTACGTTAGTCGTAAAATGTGTATGTGTCGAGATTGTGTCGTTATTTCATTTTTAAACATAAAATGTGCTCCCACTTTACCGATTTGCACATATTTTTGGGGCATACACTTTAATTGCATAGCAAGCAAATTCACACCGGTACAGATGGACAGCGCACACTTGAGAAAATTTCATAAAATTCTAGACCATAGAATTGGGTTTTCCAAAATCAGTTTAGGTCTTGCTTATGCTTATACATTCACACACACACATACACACACACACACACCATAAATGATTTTATCATTTATTTACACTGGTTTTCATTCGCATATTTTCGCTCTCGCCCTCTCTCTCTCTCTCTCTTTTATTTCAATTGACCACATGTCCAGCTGTCTACCTTTTTAGTGCCCAATCAATGCTTACCTAAAGCATAAATAATACATTTTTTGTGTTAGGAAAAAAAAGCATTATGCTCAGTATGTCATTTGATAGAATGTACGATTTACATTATATATGCAGGTATTTCACATTTTAAGCTCTCTTTCATACACACACACATACACACACACACACCTTCAAACTAAGCTTCATTTTCATGGTTGAATTCAAAATATATGGTTCTACTTCAGCTTTGAATTTCATCATTTTGTCAAAATTGTGCATTTTTTCAAACGGTTCGCTAATAAATTGGCAGTGCAGCTGTTATTTTTCTTTCACCATGAAAGATGAATCCATGCATCGTGCTAGATGAGGAAAAAAAACACAAACAAAAGCCACTTTGCATATTATTTATGTGCTTTGTTCGATTCAACTAGGTCGTACAAAGTTGAGTCGTATCAATTAAGCGCCAGTCAAATGAAAATAGAGGCAAAGAATGGGAAAAAAAAGCGCCAGCAACTATTACTTGTTGCTATTTGACTATTAGGTGTACAATGAGCCAGCCACCAGAAAGAGATTTCAATTTAATGGCATCTCTTTGGTTGTCATGAGTTGTGGCTGTTTTATTCTTTCAATCACGTAACAACATGCCTGTTTTAATGGAAAACTATTCATTTCCGATACGTCTATTGAATTCAGTTGCACAATGTATGGTTACAGGAAAATCTCCAATTGTTGTCAATGCTTAATTTACTGTCACCGAAAGAAAGTAAATGATGATGATGATGATGACGAGAATGAGTGAACGGCAGTGAGATAAAGGCGCCAAAGTTTAAATGTGTGTATGTATGAGTGTATGCGAGAGTTGATTTCAGCAACAGAATGGGAAAAAAAGGAAAGAGAGAGGAGTGAAGGCAACAATACGTAGCGATTGCAGGATAATAATGCTCATTGTATTGAATGTACGCTTTTCATACGTAAGACACGTGTATCAATTTGAGTGACATCACACGAAAAAAGCATTCCATCATATGTCAATGAAATGTGTAACACGTATGTGGAACTGAAGTGATGTGTTGTTAGGTTGATGCCAGTTTTTTTCTTAGATTTTTTCTCTTGGTGTGAAGAAACTTCATGGAATAATATAATCAAAAGGAAGAATAAAATTCATTTTGATCATGATTTCGTCAAAAAAAAATTTCGGAATTAAAGATTTGCGAGAAAAAAGAACAAAACGATTTCAACACTTGTCATTACAAAATTAGAGAAAAAGTCATCACTCCGTTTTTATCTGAGGCTATGTGATATTAAATTAAAAATTGTTTCATTTTCTATTTTGTGCATGTCTCTTTTGCCATTTAAATTATTGAACCAATTGCACTGCACTCTAGTGAAAATTCCCATCAAAATTGTTTGGAAATGATGTACAAGAACGGAATTGGCGGCGATATGATTGTGGCAAACGACAGGAGTGTATGTTTTTGAGACAGAATTTTGCATATGGTATAATTTGTTTGTGTGTGTAAATAGCATTGTATTGTGTGTTGTGTACAGAGAAGACAAAAGACTGCGTCTAACTGATTAACTGCATGTGAAAGCAACATTTGGCACCAGCTGCTTATGTATGCAATTGTGTTGAGTTAATCAGTCGGTGCATTTCCATTGTCTCGGGAAATAGTGCGTGTGCTTTAAGTCTCACTCTCTATCGCTACCCTCCTCTCTCTCTCTCTCTCTCTCTCTCTCTCTGACTCTGATGTTGTTTTTCCACACCATTTCGGTGGTGCGCTAAACGCTTGGATGAACGGTTTTCTCTGTTGTAACCTTAACACTATATATATGTATATTCAGCAAATATGATCCAGTAAGATTTCAAATTCACTTGAAAATTACATTGTAGATTGATGTGTGTTTTGTAGTTTGAATTCAAAGAAAATTTGTTTATACCCAGTTGTACATAATTCACTTTAATATATACTAACGATTTGTATGTTTGTTGATGATGCTTTGAATCGAGTCTATGATTAGATTTATGTATGCAGAAATGCTTTTGATGATGCACAAACTTAGTTTTATGATGATATAGAAGTAAGTACCGAAAAAAGTGTCATGAATGGAACCGATTGAACTCGGCAGAAGCACACAGAACGAACATAAAACACACCAACACTCGGATTTGGTTTTTGTTAATACCAAACAATTGCTTGATGATGCGAACTCTGTTTGAAATCGTCATTTTTCAAAACCAATTTGCGGGTGTGTGCGTTTTTTTGCGGAAAATCCAAAGGTAAAACAGCATAAACAGCAAATTCAATCGGATTGAAGGCGTCGAGCGCCAGGAAAAAAACCACGTAGCAAATGGGAATCAATAAAAATTTATTAATTCCACTTCTTCAAAAGTTCTATCATCACATTCTTGTATCGCGTGCCAAATGATGTGCTCCAAACTAAGCGGAGTCTAAATTGCTTCATCTTTGGAAAATCATTATAAATTCAGACTTCTTTTTCTTTCATTCGTTGAAGCTCAGCTTCCGAACAATTCCCCGGCATTCCAATTTTATGAAATGGCTTGAAGAAAGTTTGGTGATTCGGAAAAAACTTTTGCATATTTTTCCAAGTTGGAAAAAATCTAAACAATTTTTGGCAATCGCATTCGACAGACGAAGTCAATATCGAGCATGGTCGATGCTACTTCGTCACCATGTGAACCAATCGAAAAATAAGTGCGCTTGTTGTCAACATTTAAATGAGACTTGAAAACAAAAACAATGAAAACTAAACTGCCGCTCTCCCTTCATTCACTCAATTACTCAATTGGCAAAATGTATTGTTGCAGTGGAATGAACGCCTTCATTCTCCGTTAGTTCAAAGTTTTTCATTGGATTATTTCTAATGTTTTTTTCCCTTCTGTTTTGTCGCCATTCACATCGAGCAAAATTGAACGCAATCGAAGAAAATGTAATTCGTGTCTGAATTCAATTCGCCGATCAAAACAGAAAATTGCTGCGGCTATTTAATGATTCGCTTATCGTTGATCGTTTTTAGCGAAACGATTTTCGAAGCCGAAATGTGCAGAGAATGCCAAACGAATGTGTTGCAATTGGGATATTTGAATGTTTAACCACGCACCAAATTGACTCACGATTGCACTGCACTTGGTGCGCCAAAATTATTACATCATAATTGCTTCGAAACAAAAGCAACATGGTTCATTATATCGAAAATCCATTTTCTCAATAGAATCGCATCATCCATTCAGCGATCACATCATAATCACCAAAAGCGGCTTTGTACATTTCACAGCTTTGAACAACTAAAACACTTGGAATTACACATTCACATTTCATTTGCTATTCATGTTCGTTTTGTTGTTGGTAAAGTGTTCGGTACGACCTGTTTTTTTTTTCTTCTTCTTCTTCTGGTTCTAAATAATGAGCGACACTATAACACCAACTACCATTTCATGTTACACCAAATGCTACGAACAGTTTCACGTCATTAAATAATATCAACTCGAAAATCAATTTGATGATACTGTCAACGGCACGTAATAATGCTCATGATTGCACTTACACACAAACACAATCACACTTCGTTCAGACATTGATTTAGTGAAAATTCACTGTCACATTCAGACAGACAGATACATATGCACTCATGAGAGGGATGTAAATGCCAACAATTAATATAACATTTGTTACAACCAAACATGCATTTCAGAAAGAAAAAAAATTATCGCCAATTTTCAGTGAACATTACCAAATTTCCCAAATAATTAACGTTTTCAATGGGCAAATGAAAAGGATTGTTCAGATTTTATTGGCGAATCAATTAAAACCGTTAGAATAAAATGAATATTTTGTCCATGAAAATTACATATTTAATGATCGACAATGTGAAATATGAATTTACATCTCTCTGTCTCCCTCCCGCCGAAACGGTTAGAAAATGCTTCAAATTGAATATATGTATTCAATGTTCGCTTTTGTGTTTTCAATGCCAGAAAATAATCACACACACACACACACACATATGCACATACATTTCCATGACAATTTTTGGGTGTACTGAATTCTTCACATTTTTTCCCTTGCTAAATACAATCGAAATGTATTTTCAACGAAATTTTAATTGTGGTTTTTTTTCTCTCTCTCTCTCTCTTTCCCTTTCTTTCTTTTTATTGCATATTTTTGTTGGGTTGTGTTTTTTCCTCCTTAAATGCTCATGTTTATGTTTGATGTGGTGGTGTATTCATTGATATTCGTAATGCAATTCGAAACAATGGCACATCAAAAATTCAATGGGCTACAAACGATGGAATTATGAAACACGCGCGCACACACACACACACAAACTTTTGCCTGGAACATTCGAAAATGGTGCACTTGAAGGAGAAGGAAGATGGTCCTCTTTTCAAATTCTATGAAGTAATTATGGATGTCGGCGGTGAATTCATGCAAACCGTTAATTCAATGAAAGAAATTACGCTGTTCGCACCGAGCAACGAAGCTTGGAGCGATCCAATGGTGCAGAATATCATTAGGTAAGTGTATTATTCATTATGCGATAAAATTTTAAAGCCAAACAACCCAAATAACGGTTGAATTTTCTCGAATTTTCTCGAATTTTCTCGTCATCGTCATGCCTCTCGCCGCATTATATATATATATATATATCTATACTCAATTATGCCATTGACTATCCTCAGCCATTGTGCCATTTTTATGCTGAAACTATGCACGCGCATCGGCTGCATTGTTCGCAGTGATATGAATGAGTGAATGAGTGAGTGCGACACAACATACGAACGTTTCATTTTTTGGATGCCACTCTTCATGCAAGAGCAATATTCAAATTCAACATTGCCGACTAAATCATTTACAAAAATCATCGGCACTAACACTCACATTCTCACACATACGAAATTCTGAAATTCTGAAATGCGGGCACACTACGTTCTCGTCATATTTACACAATGTTTTATTGAAATTAAGCCTCATCTACGACACACACACATACCAAAGGCAAAATACAAACGGCTTCCACAAGCGTTCGAGCTTCGAACGCATAAATGTGCTCTGTTTTGTAATTTTCAGCTTTAACAAGCTTACAATTACACAGTAGACCATTAGACGGCAAAAATGTTAAGAATTATTTATCACGATGCATATATAGAGTGTACTAAATTCCATCTTTGCCAAAAGTCTATTATCACGAGCGTACGGGGATTAGGGATGAACACACATATACACATATACTGCCGCATCGACCGCATCTCGACTGAATTGTGTTCATAATTCGAGGCAAAATTGCTATCTCTTCAACTTCAATCAGCAAAACGATGATTTCGATTGAAGTCTATACCAATTTAACGATCATTAAATTTTCAACTCTCCCCCACCCATTCTCTCTCTCTCTCTCTCTCTCTCTTTCTGTCTTATCGGTCTGTGCTTATTCTCTTTTTCATTTTTCGTGCAAATGATAAAATGTGATTTGGTGGTTTTTGCAGAGACCGAAGCCGAATGCGAGACATTCTCAACTTGCATCTCGTCCGGGACCGTTTAAATACCGAGCGCATTCGACAAGGAAATCTCCACACGGTAAGCAAATTATTTTCAATTTTCAATACTTTCGAATATGTAGATAATTAAGTTTGGCATTTTAAGGATAAAAGACACGAAGTATAAAAGTAATGCTTGGATTATACGGTTTAACCAAGGAATTTATTCGATCCAATTTTGATGAGATCAACATTTTTGATTGCGAATTTGAAAAGACATTTCTCTTTGCGATTTTGTTTTGTAATTTGCATAGCCAATTTATCAGGTTCTAGTAAAAACTGCATGTCCTTTGTCATGAATGTAGTTCAATCAATGCTTAGAATCGATATGCTCAGACGCACCGTTACTTTCTCGAGAAAAAAAATTTGGATGAAAAAAATGTAAAAGGAAAATATTGAATCAATCCATTTGCAGATGTAATTATAGTTATCGATATCCAGATTTGATTTCATTTTATTTGCATGAATCGGCAAATCAGTAGCAATTGAGATAGGGTTTATTTTTTCTATTGACTCATTTTTTTCTCATTTCTCATCTTTTTTTTCTCGTATCTCCTTTGCCAACAACAGATTCTCCAAATTCCGACTGCAGTGGATCGACGAAATTTATATTTCAACGTTATTACGAATCGCGAGGGCAATCAAACAGTCACAGTTGAAGGTGCTGGCGTAAATGCGACACTAATTCAAGCTGATATTGCACAGATGAACGGCTATGTACACATTATCGATCGAGTTTTAGGTGTTCCATTCGCAACGGTATATGATAAACTTCGCACCGATCCAATGCTCAAGTAAGTAGTGGCACAAAATAAAGTGTGGCATGCACTCACTGTCGAGATGAAGACATAAAAATGGTGATAAACGTTAGTGCTGTACAATTGTGTTCAGTACCGTGTGTATGTCTTTTGGCGCGTCATTCCTAGGGAATCAACACAATATTTTTTTTTTCTTCTTCTTCTTCTTCTACATCGAGGATTGTGATTTCACTTCAGAAAACATATAAAAACCTGCGAGGAGAAAGAGAGCTGAAGATAAAAGATCTGGTTGAATGAGCGCCAACGACATTACTTTATTTCACAGGCAGTTAGAATTCCTGCACGAAATCAAAAACCAATTCTCCGCCTCATTCCGTTCTGTGAAAACGGTTGAAATGAAGACAGAGACAGATCAAGAGATGAAGATGAAGAAGAAAAAAAAAATCCCAATGAAAAATCATTTTAGATTACGATTCACTTTCAATAATTCCAACATTCTTATTTTATTTCATTTTCGTGCGTGTTTTTTTTTTCTCCTTTCCTTTCGACGATTGCACACAGTTCGACATTTGTCATGGGCCAAAATGCAGACTTTAATTTGCAGTTGAATGACACGAGACGACGATTCACCTACTTCGTACCAAGAGACTGGGCATGGCAACAAACTCAAACTGAATTCCCGTCAACGCATAAAAAGCTATTTATGCCAGACTTCTATTATCATGTAAGTGGAAATGCTGCAACAAGCAAAAGAAATATAATAAATACGTCTATATATGAGAGAGCGAGCATGAGTGTGCGCGCGCGAGTGAGCTCACGCACACACACATTTTCTAAATACCATTATGTGCGCTTTAGTTGGCTCATTCATTTGGCGTTTCATTAAGCGCTTTTAATATTTATTTCCATAAATAATTCATGTATATTCTATTGAGATTGGTGGAAATAGGAAAAGTAGAGTGAAACGAAACGACGACCGAAAAAAAAACAACAACCAGGTAGAGAAAAGTTTTTAATAATGCATTCATCGATGAACTTGTTTAATATTGTGAAAGTTGTGTTCGCAATCCACTTGAAGTTTTGATGCCGTTTGCAAAGAATCAGTTAGAGTAAAATGGAGATGAAGCGAGAGCGAGACGCGCAAAAATGATTGATGCTCGTTTATGCATGCCATATATCGTTTTCGAATAATACACGAGTTAAACTATTGATTTTCCATTTAATAATATTTCATATTTGCCCGGTGAATCATGTATGAGATTCCTCATATCCTTGGTATTCCCACTGTAATTCGTATCATACGAGTTAATTTTTCTCTTTCTCAGTATGTTTGTGATTTCTCAAAAAAAAAACCGAAGAAGAGAAAACCCTTTATGCAAAATGATCAAAGGGATGTTTACTCTTTGAATCTCTCCAGTGTTTCCCGACTACATTACCGAGATCGGGTTGTGTTTCTTATTGATTACTTGGCAAAACAGACATCCACACTCAGCCTCGGCATATGGAACAGGTTGCGCTTTTGCTCACTTTTTCGTACACTGTATAATTCCTTTTCGGTAATCCCATTGAAATGGGATGCAATGCAATGTATGTACCGAGTAAAAACAGTAGTTTTCATTACCTCAATACCAACCGAACAGCAGAGAGATAACAACATCAAAACTCCTGATATAACATACCATAACTAAAAGTTCCAGCACTTGTCAATAAGCTTATGCAAACATTTTAATAAAATAGTTAGGGTATTTTTGTTGTAATCTGATTGAAATATCCATGTGCTTGTCAGATGAACGATGGCACCGTATTCCGCTTGCTGTGGCACTCTTCGTGTGTCACTATTTTTCTATTTCTACTATGAAAAGTTGAACTTTTTTTTACCTCCGCCTCCTGCCGCTCAAGTCAAAGTTTGAGTTTTATATTCAACATAAAATATTTAGTAAATTTATTACGACCCAAACGAGAGCTTATACATTTGAACAGAAAAAAATTGTCTTAATTTTTTAACGATCATAAAAGATGGGCGCTACCACTTTGTTGATCGTTTAAATTAGTTGTTGGACTATCGAGTGCATCCAACTTTTTCATTGTGCATATTTCCTGGGCAACGGTGTGTTGCGGTTGTATTTGTTTGTGATTTTAGTATCGATAGCGAGTAGGAAATTAATTCAATTCAATCGATATTAAATCAATAAAAACGCTTTAAAACAACCCATTCACTTTTGTTGAACAAACATGGAAACATAAGCAAAATGAAATCAAAACAAAACAAAAACAAGAACCAGCCAACCAATGTGAACACCATGACGTTCACATGACCAATGCGATGCGATGCCGAACGTCTGAGAACAAGAAGTAGAAAATTAAACAAACGCTTGTACCATTGCCAACAGAGATATCCTAACCATATTTGGCCGAATGTATGGCGAAGTGCTTTCGTGTGTATTCAATTCGGGTGGATGAATCCGCCGGTGTAGACGATCGAATTAATTAAATCGGGATGCATGAAACCATAGAAAGTATTCCGGATAAAGAGTGCTATCGGAAAAGAAAACGCCACACACACACACACTTATACTACACGCAATGGATTTGTTGGCCGTAAAACGCGAAAAGCAATTAGGATCAATCCAATCATTTTGCCGGCTATAACAATGCTTTTAACGTTTCTATTGTTTATTATTAAAAGGGCTGTGCTGGTGCGGTGCGGTGCGGCGTGCATACAACCTTATCAATTTCTTAATTGATGATTTTGACTTTGGCCAAATTCCAAGTCAAAATACCACCCGAATATAATAATAGCGAAAATTATTTCTTTTGTAACGGGATAAAAATAGAACATAAGAGGCCGGGGAAGGGGGAATTTTATTTTGAAAACATTGTATGCTCTCAATTAAATGGGAAACGACCCTTCTACCGTGGTAATCACCTGTGTAATATTCTCTTTTCTATTTAGCAAAAAAATTGAATGGGCACCAACAGTCGAGGTTTTCCTACGCTCTCACACGCACACTATTCGCTCTCTCATACAAACACTTTTTCTTATTTATTTTTTTTTATGGCTAATAACAAAACACATTTTTTTTCGATTAATTGCAGGCTCGCTTGGTTTTGGAAAGACATTTGGTTATTTCGGACAAAGCCTTCACCATGGCGGATCTTCGTCAAATGGGCAATGATTCGATAGTTTTGCCCACCATACGTGACGCACTCACCATTCGTGTTCGTGAAGATGGAAAACGTAAGTCTATCCACACATTGATTCAATCCAAATGGAATTTTGTTGCAAAGCCGTGTGGGTGTTGTAATGCTCCGTTGTGTGAATATGATGAAACAATATTTTCAAAATACAACCGTTCATGGATTGAAGAGAAATTTGTACGGGATTATTTTGAACAAAGAACATGCCATGGATTTTTTTTCTTCCACAAAACATAAGGCGATAAATTATCAACAGATTTTCAGAAAGCATTTCAAAGACTAATGACAGAACATTCATTGCATTTAATTTCAATACTGTCAATGAATTGAAACTCATCGCATTTTACATGCTTTTCAAAACATTCTCCTCTCGTGTTTATATTCAATACAAAATTTCCACGCATGTTTCCAAACGTTTTCTCTCTTTCTCTAAATTTCGTGCGGACGTTGGCATGACAGACAAATTGTAAAACAGATGAAGGCACTGTTTTTTTTTCTCTCTCTCTCGTTTGGATTGAGGGACAAGTTCATAGAAATGTCATCAGACATCATAAACTTGAATTGGACGCGTGAATGACAGAATACATTTGACCAAAAATCTCAAGCATTTGCTCTCGTTTGTCCGCAATAAGGTTTGCTGATATTTGGCTCATTCGTGATGTGCAATGGGTAGACAGATGGAAAGCACATTTATCATTTTCCTTCCATTCAAGATTCTTCAATTGTGAAGATTGCACTCAAAACTGCCGATTCGGGCACTTACAATCAAATAATGTACGTATAGAATAGATGAATTTGTAAATACGAACACACAGACACACACACACACCCATTGCTCCGAATTTTTAGTCAAACATTCAACATTGGTTCTCGATGCAAACATTGCTTTAATTAAGCAAAGTTCACGTTCACGACGATTGGATAATTCAATGTTGCACAATGTCGGTGCAATGTCTGTATAAAGTAAAAGACGATTGAAATTGTCAACAATGACGGAGATTTTCTCTGTAAGCACACTGTCGATTTTCGGGCCATCATGTCTCGTACTTTGTCGATGTGTTTGCTGCTATAGAGGAATCGTTGAAACGACATCGTTGAAATTCAGCTTACGGATTTCAAATTCACATTTGAGTTTCAGCACATTTGGGTGCATTGCAAAAGGTTTGAAGTCGCATCGCTTTGGGTTTGGTGGCATTCAGTAAAATGCACCATAAAATTTTCACCATTGGCCACAAGTAAATTTGAAATGTTCTTGCGTATGCGCTCGCGACTGCCGTTCGTTGCCTTTGTGATTTTTTATGCACTAATGTTTTTCTTAATTTCCACGTATACATATACCGCGTTGCTTGCTTTCATTTAGGTTATTGAGAATTTAATTTATCGATTGCACAGCACTTCCTTATGTATCCGGCGCGTCTATTAAGATCGGTGTTGCTTGACGTTCCAATGTTGCCATCGAAGCATCTTAGATGTGTTTGAGTGTGTGCGAGAGAGGGAGAGAGGGAGAGAGAGAGAGAGCGAGAGTGTTGTTGACCTCAATCCAACGCGCGCTCGAATTCACATGAAAATGTACTGCGAAATGAAATTAATATTGGGCCTCTCCTTAGAAACTTCCACACAACCACAGCCATTTTATCGCAACATATTCTCGCACACACGTCATTTATCTAATTTGATTAATGGAATTTAATTATGTTTAAACGATACAATCGCAATCAATGTTAATGATTATAACTATTTAATAGTTGCACAAATTAGCGCAACACCTTTTGCGCAGCTTCGAATTGATTCGCGCAAGCTGCAGGATTTTCATATGGATCGATATAGCGTTTCATTCATCAGAGGCGCTTTAAGAGCAAATTAAACACTTGATACGATTAATTGGTAGAATCACCTCCAAATGAAAATTTTCCCACACCGCAAATCAGCAAGCGGAAAAATCTGTCATCGTATCAAAATCCGTTGGTAAAATGGTTTTTGGTTTATTATTAGGACAAAATCCGTTCATTCAACATGCGTAATCAATGTGGAGCTTAGCATTTCTGCCGTTTCTCTCGTTTATTTGTTCATTCATTCGTTCGTTCATGGAAGAAATATGAAATAGGATAACAAGTATTATTATTCCATGAGCCCCGGCTCATAAATGGATGGTGTTGACATATGCCACTTCAGCTTCTGGTCAGTACATGTTTAGACGATGTGACTACCATGATAATGATGAAAACATTTCAACATTAATAATGCAGCCACGAAATATGATATTGCATGAATGGATGCGAATGAAACAAATTAGACGATACACACACACACATCCACATAGGTTTCTAGTTCATTGTGGCCAATTTGGTTGTGTGGAGAGGTTTGCGCAATATTCCATTATAAATCGATGATGAGCGACGAAAAGCATAATCGAAATGAAGTGTCTGGCTCGTCCAGATTTTTCTCACTAATGGCAACCACCATTTGCACGGAAATTTCGAAGCAAAAGAAAGAAATAGATAACATTAGACGGTCTATTTTTAGAGTAACTACGCCATATTTTGCTGTCAAGTCATCTCGATTGTAATGTTTTTTTCTTTCGCTTGTCGCGTGTTGCTTGTAAATATTTATGACGGTTGACTTAAACGAGCGACAAAATGTTCAAGTTTTGACCTCAACGACACAATATATGCATACTTTTCGTAAAGATTTGCTCTAAAATACCATCCTTTTGTGCAGTTAGAAATTCAAATTGAGCGTTAAAATATCTGAACTCAGTTGAAATTATTGACTCGTGAGCCAAACTAAAGTATTATCAAGTATTTCCCATCGATTCCAAACGATGTGATATCGTATGAATGAATTCCATATTGAGAGAGACCGGTGTGTTACCACATACATGACCGGAACATATGCCTTGAATATTCAGTGTATCTGCATTGCAAAAGATAAGCTCATATATACGTGATCAGATGGAATGCCATGAAGATGATGTTGTCTCGTTGGTCGTTATGAAATTTTGTTGAGAAATTTTTCGGGTCATAAAAAACAAAACCCATTCTATTTCATGGCAGCAATACGGTTCGATCGTATTTTCCACGGCGATGAAGCTACAACAACAATAACACGTATTTCCAATGTAAACATAAGACGAGCTCTACTGACACGACGCTTGTGGTGATAGTTGAAGATTTCAATCACATAAGCGTATGTATGGCCGAAAATCAAGTAGCCTTTTGCGCAAACCGTATATCCTATGCTAGCGTGTCTGTAGTGTGTGTATGTTTTTCATTTTTCGTACACGATTTGAGAACATTTAATTTATGTGTTATTGATATATCATTGACTATACTATTTACATCAAATCCTTTTTTTCTCTTTTTTTTCTCTTTTTTTTCGTTCTTTATCCTGGGTCATTTCCTGTACAGGCTATTCCATTCAGTGGAATCATCGAAACATCCCCGTATTTCGGCCAGATGTCGAATGTACAAACGGAATTATTCATGTCATTGACCATCCATTTTTGGTTGATAGTGACGTTCGTGTAACAGCTGGAAGCAGCCAACCATTCAACGGAATCCGAACAACAGCAATTTTACTTGTTGCAAACATCGTAATGCTAATCGTTGCAAACAATTTGGTGTAAGCAAAAAGAAAACAAACTTCAGACGTAAGGATCGTGTAGCGTAAATAAACAGATACAAAAAAAAATAAATGAAGAATGACAAACAAGTAGAACACTGAAATGGAAGAGACAAAAATAAAAATGAATATTATGAAGAAGAAAAAATAAACGACAAAAACTGCAATCACGATAACAATAAACGTGTCAACAACTACAACTACAGCAACAACAACAGAAAATATTCTCTTTTTGTTTCGTTCATTGGCGAAAATATTCGAATGAAAAGTGATTGGGATTAATTTTACTCAGTTCTGATTTTATGTAATATGACTTTTATTTAAAAGAAGAAGAAAAAAAATAGCAGTAGAAGAGGAGAAAAAGAAGAAGAAGACGCAAGAGTCGAATTTTGATATTCATTAGAAGTTCTTTTCAACATCAACTGCTCTTTCGACATCGATCGAATGCCGTTGAGAATGAACTTGGGAACGAAAGCAATTTGAATGCTATTTGAGTGGTTTGAAATGCAGACCCTATCATGCATATAACTCGGTCGGGGACTATATAGACTATTCGCAACTGCGGCTCATTTAAAATTGACCACTACACAAAACAATACTATCACAACTTGCACATCAACAGCAGCAGTAGCAGTAGCAGCAGTCCAACTGAATGCTTCATTGAATATAGAAGATTGAAATATGCAGCCAATTCAAGTGAACGCCCTGATTTTGAGGACAATCGACGGTATGGGTTTCGTGTTTCTCTCTCTCTCTCTCTCTCTCACCCTCTCTCTCTTCCCATTGAGGTTGCAACCACACTTGAAGAACCATAAGTTGAGAGATATTTTACCATTGAAGTCATGTTCATTTTCTCATACTTCATTCAAACACTCCTTTGAGTTTAAAATTGAGTTTGTTTGATTTGACAAATTCCAAAGTAAGCTTCAATTATAATTCTATCCACATAAATATGCTGAATTTTTTTTTAACATTGTTCACTCAGGTGTGTTTGTGCGTGCAAGAGTGTTTGCCAAAGCATTGCATTCATAACGCAATGAAATATTCCACTTGCAAAGAATGATATGTTTCATGTGTTTTTTGAGTGCTTTTTTTACCCATTCCACCGCTGAAATGCCGTCACATTCCAACGTTTCTGCCAAACTGGCGAAGGGGTAACGCAAACGAAAATGCGTTGAAGATGATGAACAGATCATAGCAAACGGCAATAAAGCATTGAGTAGGTTAGCATCATAAATTGAATAACATAAATCTTGAATTTCTCCAAACGATTGCGTGCATCGAATGCGACATGGTGTTTTCGGTGGTGTGTAATGTTCAATGCATGTTTCTGTTGTTGCACACAAACGATTTTCTAGTGTTATACACACTTATAAACTTCCAACAACCAATTCTAATGCCATTGCGAATGGCACACAGAGTGCGGATGGAAATGGAGTGACATCGGCGGCGGCGGAGGCAGTGCTTTGTGTTTTGGAATTCCGATGAAAATTTTGTAAATATCACAACTGCATCGTAGTGGCATGGATACATACAACAGGGAAAGTGCATTTTTAATAAATGGTGACATTTAAATCAGCACCCTGTACTAGCACGCCGTATTCAAAAGAAATATGTACTTGTTCGAGTTGAGCCTCAAACTCCCATTTGCTACCAAAATATTATCATGTTCAATTTTCAAATTTAATGTTTTCATGATCTATTGCTACAGTTTTCAATTGTGTTAAATATCAGTTCCAGTTTGGTTCGGGTGAGTGAGAGACCATTTCTCGGTCAAACGAAACTTGTAAATGGATATTGGTTGCGAAATATTGCAAACAAAAATGAACATTGAACGAGAAACCCCAAAAATGCATAAATACATGCAATTTTTATGTTGTCCAAAATCCAAATACAATGCTGTAATAGCATTGTTGTGGGAACACATTCCGGGTTGAACACAAATTCCGAATTGCATGGCACTCCTTAAAAAATAAATGGGACGAAAAATATATTGAAATGCAATTTGTTGAAGCGAAGCTAACGAACGGATCGCTCGAATATGAAACAATCATAGCAGAGAGCATCGAATTTGCAACAATCAATTCATTAACCAGAAAAACACGATTTGACTTTAATGAATATCAAAATTCCAAATGATTCTAGTTGAAATTTTATTGAAAATACCATCAACTATCTGTCTGCTTGTCTCTTTCTCTCTCTCCCCTCTCTCTCTCTCTCTCTCTCACTCCTTCTTTCTATCTCGCTAAATATATTTAATTGTGTGAGCGTGTTATTTAGACGTGTAATTTATGATTTTCCCAAGGTGAAAACGAGTATGCAGTGCTTAAAATTTGAATAAAATTCAAATGCTTGTCCAAAAATAAACAAACAAATAATAATGAAAAGCAAACCAACACACACACACACATAAATAATAATGAATATTCAAATTAATTTAAAATAGGTAAAAAAGCCAAATGTGAATCGCAAATATCTGACTCTAACTACAACCATACAGAATAACGGAAACCGATAATGTATTTCAATTTCGTTTGGATTTGTTGGTCAATTGCCCAAATCAGAATAACTGTCGAAAATATGATGCAAAAGAAAAGGAACAAAAAAGAAGATACTGATTGGTTTGAACTTATAACGATAAAAAGGTAAAAAAAAATTAAGGAAAAAATTACTTAGGAAAGCAGTTTCTCACTTATTGCCTTTAACAACTCAAAAAATGAAGAAAAAAAAACATGCGATTTTATTTTCAATTATTCGGCTTTCGGATACTTTTTTTTACAATGTATTACCTCTTGCTAAGGATTTTGTGGCTTCGAAACGGCTTTTTAAGATCGCATATTCCTACTGGATTTTTCTATTTATAAGGAACAAAACAACTTACACACCAATTTAACCAAAGTTTCACACACAAACATAATTTTTTGATTATTATTGGATGAAATTTATAATTTGTAATGCAAACCAACAACCGGTAACATATTTGTACAATAGTTTGTATTTTCAATGAGCAGCTGATCCAAGCAACATTTTTGCAAATTAATATTATGTATTTCGTTTTTAAGCAAACAAACAAACAAACAAGAAAGAAACCAATAAATCAAACAGACAGACCATTCGGAAGGGATTTTTGTTTTTCGTTTTTTGAAATGCTATACACATTGAATGCACGCACAGAAATGTGTTTGGTCATGATCCATGTTATGAAAGTTTCGTCATCAGATTTTTTTTTTGATAAATTACTCACACACAACAAAAAATAGTTTGAACATTTACATCATTGAAAATCATTGTGATGCTTTTATCAAATGTATTATCGCCATGCACCGGCTGAGGCTTGATAGAGCGTAAGGGAGCGATACAGTGCGATAATTTTCACATAACGACCACTCTGTTTCTACATGTCATTTGTGTATAACGAAATTGCAAACAAAAATACTATCTAACGCGATATAAATCAATAAGTGTAATTAATGGAAGTGAAAAAAACAAACATTTAAACAAGTCCAGAAAAGCGGAAAATTATATTTTTTAACTTTAATTGTAATTATATATTGAGTTTTTATGATTTTAAACGATTCTTATCTTGTTTTTACATTTGAATAATCGATAGCTGATTTTGATTTGGAAATAGAAGAAACCGTTTTGCACATTCTCATTGCAAATCAAACGCACTAATGAGCTTATCAACATACACATTTTCCCATGTCGCTCAAAATGCTCGCAAAAGTGATCGATGCAACCGAAGTGTGTGCAAACAAAAATAAACAAAAACGTCGATCTTTCCAATAATAATTATAGCTTGAAAAAGTTTTAATTTAATTTCACAGTGTCCTCAGTTTAGTTGACCATAAAGAAATGGTTCAAATCAAAAACTTTAATGGTTATGATAAAACTGATTTTCACGGCGATCATATAGAAAAACGAAGAGTCGAGCGCGTTTCGAACGAGAGAAAAAAATGGTGAAGCATTTAAAACGAAAATCAAGAGAGTGGAAAATTTGATTAAGCATCATTTTAGTGTGGACGCCACTGTGGGAAAAGACAAACGAAACATTCGAACGAGTGAGAGCGCAGAAAAAAAAACTGAACAGCATGAACGGGGTAAATGGTAGAAGTTCATTGATGTTAACCTGTAGATTTGTGTAAGTACAAACAGGCATCTCTTTTCATGGACCGACAGCTTTATGCACTCGGAGATTTTGGGTTTTCTTGTAAACAATGCGGCCGCTTTTTTCCTCGACTCATATTTCGTTCCATACACAAACTTTGTGCAACACACATACGGAAGGTCCTGTTGGATGTTTTTTTTTGTTCCGGCATTCTTTCTTTCTCGTTCCTTTGCAAATATGAACACACAGGGAGATGTTGGGAGAAAAAAAACTCGGCTACCTAGTTAAACTTAATTGAAATTGCTGTCGAATTTCTCGATGAATGTTCAAAAACCGGATTTCCTTTTCACCGACACTGCACATTTGTCTCCTTCATATGATGGGCTTGTGCGTGGTTGGTTGGTGTTGTTGTTTCTTCTCTCCCAGTGCACATAGCTAGTAACCAGCATACGCAAGCTCCATATTTGAAACGTCGAACTTAGTAAATAAACTCAATAGTTCGCTATCCAATATCGTTATTCGCAAAACTTTATCTTCGCTTTAGAGAATTAGTTGAAGGATGCGCTACAGTATGCCAAAATCGGCTCGACCTCCCCGCATTACTAACCTTCGACATTACCATTGTTCAAACAGACTCTCTTTCCCTCTCTCTGTGTGTTTGCTGTGCACCAAATTGATGTTAAACACAATGATATTTCAACCGGAAATTGTCAAGGAATGTTCCTCGTCGTTTTTCATTTGATCCAAACCGTTTCACATCGCATGCATATCAGTCAAAAAAATGCAGTTCGTTGTGAAAAATGAGAGAAAAAAAATCAAACAAATAAAGAAAAAAAATACAAAACGAAAGTGGATTTTATCAAATTTTATCAAAATGCAAAAACATGAAAAAAATATATCGGTAGTATCGATAGAAATTTAAATAAAAACAAAATGCAGCGTTCATAAGGAATTGTAATTGAACACCCGGAAATCATGTTTCGGATCAAATTTAAAAAGAAGAGACAAATAAATAATAGGTTTTTGTCCATTTGACAGAAAAAACATTGAATCGAGTTCGAAGTCGTCATCATCGTCGTCAATCGAACGTTTTACTTATTATTTCTCTCTATAAATGTGTGTTTTTCTTTTGTTTTTCTTTTTTTTTAAATTTTCTAAATAAATAAAAATTTAAAAAAAAAACAGCTAAGCAAAACATCACCAGTTAGGAAAAGAAAACCAAACAATTACAATTTATCATTATAGATCGAAAACTATAGCAACAGCTAAAAATAAATGAATATTGTATTAGGAATATTAAATAAATCAATAAAATCAATAAAATTCACTTAAAAGAGCGACACTATCCGTTTAAAAAAAAACCACTGTGTTATTTATTCTATACTGGACATGGACAGTTGCATCATTGACACAAAACATTGAATTGAACTTTGCCATCGGAATTGACCACAAAATCGGACTCTCTCCCGTGCCATAAAGTAAGTATATGGAACCATTTTGAAAATCCGATTGAAATGGTTTTGGTTTTCTGTGATTTTGGGTAAGCAAACAAACAAATCAGACATCAATGCTTCGAGCAAAACCAAAAATGCACAATCAAATGCAATGCAAACTGTTGATCTGTGCTGCATGCACTGGGATACCAATATAGAGGGAAAAAATGAACCGGTAAATCGACAAAAATATGAAATTTAAAACAAAGCAAAGATTGAAATCGCACACGACAATATATAACCCATTCCAGTTGGGCTGCAATTCGATTCTATTTGTGCAAACGCTATTATGCATCCTCTCCGGAGCAGTGTCTGTGTACATGATGGTTAAAATTCATCTTTGTCGACATCGAAATCAGTGTGGCGGCTGGAAAACAAATTATCCATTCGGTTGATTCAAATGTGGGAATTTATGTATACGACCAACGAGTTCGATGCATTGAAAATCAAAGAGGCGTTACCATTGCCCAAAAATCACACATGGCTGTTATTGATACAAACAAGCACAAAGCCACAACTCGAACCAATATGACATTTCACCCGTACAATGTTCCGGTTGAGTGGAAAAATGCACGTTCCGCAGGAACTTTCGGAAATTTCATTTCCTTGGTCTACGATTGAAAATTTTGTATTTTGTCAATGTCCCCAACCACCGCATTCGGCAAACTGTGTAGGCAAGGAATATTTCAAGTGAATAGAAAGTGATGTTCAACGCCCAACCGTTCTGAGCCTCATGATTTGGCGCTTGGAAAATTTACATTTACAAAGTTTCTAGTCTGTGATTTTCTGTTTGATATTCATTCGGTTCAATATACAATTAAATATTTTAGCTCGATTTGGAATGTTTGACCTCTTAAAAATTTTGCGTTCCAAGTATACAATGTTCCTGATTTAAAAACACACTGCATTCCGACAATTTTGTTGTGAATTTTGATACAGTCGACCACTTCGTGGTGCATTTGACCATTAATTCACATACAATCCCGTCCGAATCGGATGAAATTCGGGTATCATCCAACTATACGCTACACTCGAATAACATCCATTTGTGACGGTAATAATGTGTGTGAAAACTGACTGACTGACTGAGAATTATATATGTACAACAGATTTGATCGTTTTCATCTTTGAATCAATTGAGAAATCAGAACCGTTGTGCAACATTTTCAATTGTAAATGTCACTTGAAATCTTCAAACTATTCATTAGCTCTAGAAATATGCACGATATAATAATCATTTTCAGTATAAAAAACTGTCGAAGCAAAAACATTTTGCTTCCCTTTGGAGATTTCCCTTTCTGTCTCCAATTCGTAAAACAGCAGTTTTGACGCAGCAACCGTCACGTCATGCAAATGTGGTGTTCAAAGGATGAAACATTGTCGCCGAACGATTCATTTTGCAAATGTCACTCAGCACAGCGGCTCATTGGTGTTGGAACATTGACAAGAAATTGACGCACATTTTTTTGGAGTGAACATTCAACGAAAAAAGGCAATTTTTTTTGCGAAATAGTTGCTTTAATTGCGAGACCAAAACCCTTTTACAGGTATGTACGGCTAACAATAGAGTTCTTGCACAAATTAAATTGTGGATTATTTTGGAAATTGTTGTGAAATTGTTATTTCGTCATACCGGTTCACATTTTCATGTTCAATGACATGTTCAAAGCGGGAAAAATCGCAATATTCTAGACCGATTGCATTGATTGACGCGAATAAATCAATATAAATTAATTCGATCACAACAAGTTTTCCCATTTTTTTTGTTACCAATTACAATTAATGGATTGTGGGTTTTTTTTTCTCCAAAGATTATATCGCAATTTTGAGGCGAGATCCGCATTGAGACAGGGAGACAGAGAGCAAACCAAGCCTGACCTATTCAAATCGTTTGGATTCATACGAAGTGGACTTTTTGTGACCGGGGTGAGTTTAGTGAACGTAGGAAATTGCAACAAATTAGCGTAAAATCATGTTTTTGCGTGTGGTGTACATGTTTCGACATGATTTATGGCGACGGACTGATGAATATCATCACATTGTTATCGTATTCGTTTAAAGCGATCAATCAGTGCATTGTTTTCGATTTCCGTAGCGTTAGCCAATTTCACAATCGCTTGCAACAAACATTTCATTCGTTCTACAATTTATTTTCTCTCGTTTAGATCCATCGCGATGGCGAGGCGTAAGCGGCACAATAAGACGTTTGGTAGGCCAAGGGAGAACAAAGTGCAGATGAAAAAGCACTCCATTGTGAAGAAAAAACGTGTCAATCGGAAAGAAGATTCAACAAAACAGTCGACAGAAAATGGCACAATCGAAATCGGCGCGATCAAATTGGCATTTAATTCGATAATTAATCCGAACTTAACAGAAACAGAAAGAGGATTTCTGATCCATAAGTTCTTCGAGAAATGTTTGAATGCTACGAAAGTCATGCATCTTGCATCGATGTTAATGCTCTACACAATTAACGAAGCATTTGATGATGGCAATTTGGACTTCTTCGTGAATCAAAATGGAGCAAATGTGATTACAGACTGTTTCAACTGTGTCACATCGGACAACATCAAAGATCCACTCACAGCCCAAATGCCAGACGCATTTCTCGCGATGGTGACCCAAGGTAGCCCCAACTTTGAATGGCCACGCCGCCATCAAATGACTCGCCAAGTTTATGCTCTCAAGGACCAGTATGTGGCCAATGTGAAGACAAATTTGGAGACGCACTGTTGGATGAGATTGACCCACTTTCTACGTGTAAAGTGCCATGAATTCAATCACAAAGGAAGCCCACTTGACGTTATTTATAATGCATCATACTTGCCTTTCGATGACATTGACATTCGAAATACGATGAAAAATTTGATGTACAATGAAGATTGGACTTATGATGATGATGAAAGTCGAAAGTCGAAGATGGAAATACTGTTTAAGGAAGTGTCTCAGCTTTGTGGCCCATCATTCGTAAAATACTTCACAATGTACGAATACATTCAAAAGGACTGGTTCGAGTCTTTGTGGATGTGGATGGGCATGCAACGAATTGTCGAGAAATTTTTGATCGATACGGCTCACCTTCGTCAACAGTGGAAAGCATACGATCGTGATCCAGTGAACAATCGAGAGCCGTCGGTACCGAAGAGACCAAAAGTGAAGAATTTCGCCGCTATTCCACTCAGTGATACAAAACTGAAGCACATACCATTCGACCATCATGATTTGATTGCTATCATTGGCCAGTTGAGAAAAGAACGGGGATGGAATATCCGTGCTGATTATCATACATACTACAAGACGAGGCATGGGGAATTGTGTTCGATATGGACAAAATCAGACGGCTCAGAACCGGTTCGAAAGAGTTTTACTACAAAATTCAAACCAACAGTAGTGCCGTGTCGGTGTTGTTTAGCAGACCCAAACGCAAAGGAGCCGGCGTGACTCTGTCTGAAATCAAAGCAAAGTACGAAAAGCCAGTCAGCAAAGGCGGTTACAAGTATGAATCAGGAATTGATCCCGGCCAGAAAACAAAAATGGCCTGCGTGCGTCGGACTCTCGCTACTGGAAGTAAGTTGAAATATCATATGAAAATTAACATAGATTTGCATTGTTGTTGTTCATTTCACAGACCAACATCAAATTATCGAGTATTCAATATCACTGGGGTGCGCGACAAGGAATGCGCGACAAACAGGCAAAGAAAATGACCAGAAAGTACGTGCTCAAAGAACAGCGCGACTTGGAAAGCTATCCGATCGCATCCGTATCGCCGCGAGGATCACAATGGAAATCATTCATTAAGCACAAAATCAAAATGCTGACAGATTCATTGGCTACATACGCAAGAAGAAAATATGCACAGCTATCGTTGCACAAGTACATCGAGTCTAATCGCGAAATGGATTTGATGGCTAAACACATAACAAAGAATGAGACAGGAGTTGTGTTCCTTGGTGATGCGGCGTTCCCATCAAATTCGAAAATCGGTGTGAAAAGAACAAAACGAACACCGGATCAGCGAAAGTTCATAGTTAGCCTAAAAAAGAACGGCAAAACGGATGTTGTGCTTACACCAGAGCCGTATACATCACAAACCTGTGCCAATTGCTTGCGGCGATTTCCAAGAAGCACAAAAAGTGACCGATTCAAAGTATGCAAAGATTGTCGCCCACACAAGGATGTGAGACTCCCACCGGTTATCGTGACTGATCGAAGCAGACGGCGCAAGCAACGTGATCGAAAACAAAATGCCAGCCAAAAGCCAACAGCAAATGTAACTAGAGCCGAAAGAGCTGAGAAGCACCGGGAAGAGCGTCGAAGTGAGCGTGAAAGCCACAATCCAGAGCAATTGGATACCGAAGAGGCAGTGAGACGGTACAATCGACGCATACGACGGCGTGAACTACGTCAACGACGTCGAGTTGCAGGCCATCGCAGCCGTAAAGTAACCAAACAGCCGGAAGCGGAATCCGATTTGCCGGGTTTTGATAAAATTGGTGACACAAGTATTTGCAAGATTCGTATCAAAAATCGTAAGGCCAAACCACAATTATGGCAGCGAATACATTACGATGCAACTGATAAAGGAATTGGGGATTTGGGGTCAAAGAAAATATTCTTCCAGAAAAAATGGCACTCAAGCCCAATGAATGATCAGAACGCTTTTACTGTTACTTGGCATCGTGACATCTGTGCGGCGAAGTGCATCTTGTACAGAGGTATGTGATCTACACAATACAATCACATTCATGTTTTATTGTATTTCAATTTCGAGTTCAATTCGTTCATTCTAGGCCGTTGTATGGTTTTCGACTTGAATGTGCACGAATCATTTGTGTTACCACCAGAAAGGATATGGCCAAAATGTCGAGATGACCAATCGAGATGGCCAATCAAATGCTGTCGATGATAAGTAGAGCGTAGATTAAGAGGATAAAATAAAACATTAACGATTAGTTAATTTCAAAGCTTGATTTTTGTGGCTTTGTACATTAAAATGTGTGTGCAAATACACGATGTAATACGGCTTAAGCCCGTAGGTAAGTTGTTGTATGTAAGATTTTCTCAGTCAGTTGGTCAATTTTAATATCCACACCAATATTTACCAAAGTCATAAATGGACCTAGTTCAAGAGAAGCGTACAGTTGGATGATACTCGAGGTGAGTCCATTTATGACCTTGTTTCACACGTGATTTGTTATTTTGTTATCAATTGATTCATAATCGTTTTTATATCCTTCTAATTGATTTGTTTTTACCGTTTTTTTCTACTTCCATTGTGACGTTAAAAATGACTGAAACTACACACAAATGCGGGCCTTAATTCGACCGTTTACATACGCTTGGTGATGGATGTATTTACGTTAACAATTGTTTCTTGGGAACACACTGCATTCCGACAATTTCGTTGTGAATTTTGATACAGTCGACCACAAATACTATGGTATATACTAACGAAGACTATGCGGATTTTGTGAATTTATCGTCGAATCTAGTGGGATTGGATCAATCGATTCAGGGAATACAAATACCGGTGAATACACTGAAAGATGAAATTGTTTCGGTGCGAACAACGCTTGAGAATACAATGCAGGAGGTGAACGAGTGTCTCGAGCAAAAACGACAATTGCGCGAACAATTGAAGAGTGTTCAAAGTCTAACCAGCGCCAGAAAGTCAATGGGCAAACTGGAGAAGCTTCTTGCCGACAAATTGAATGATGACAGCAATTTGAATCCGATGTTACTAGAACGAGCAGCAATGGAGTTGGTCAAACTACAAACTATCCGAGTTTTCGAAATACTTTAGATTGATTGTAGTATGCAGACCATCACTGGGCTACCACTCAAAATTATTTGGTTTTTTATCAGTGGAGAGGAATTCGGACTGTTGATCTGGATGCATATTATGTAAGCACTTTGGAATAAGCCGACTGAATTAGTTTCAACCACAATTAAAATAACGATCAACCGACACATTTCATTCACACAATAAACATTTTATACAGTCCATTGGGCATGGGCTGTAGAATTTTTATAGCATCGAAATTGCTGAGTTTGATAAAAGTACCGCAAATATAGAGAGTATTTAGCAGGCTAAAATAAATTACCGGACTGAATTGATGGTTAAACATGAAAAAATACTATGGAAAACGAAGCAAAACAGTGAAAAATATGTCATAAAATATTTTTATTTTACGTTCAATTTATGGATTCAGCTAAATAATCCCGAAATGTATTTGACAAATTAAAAAGTCAGAAAAATGGAAGAACGAAGCCGTTAAACGTTTAACAAAAAATTCATCTTCTATTTTATTTGACTATTTATTGCAATGTTCAAACATTATCAGCCAAATTCAGGATTAATCGCGTGGACATTCAGTATTGTATAACAATCAGCACAAAAGCTGCCGCAGTTAGAAGCAATATGATTGGATTAGTAGTTGCAGCACCATTACACCTGTCCGTTTTACAAGTCCTGCAATCTACAAGAGTTTGATATTCTTTTTTCCTATCGTCACAGATATGTTTTTTGCGCAATCTCTTATGTTTGTAGTTATACCATCCTCAGCTGTGAATGAATATACAAAAATGAAACAAGACAAAGAATAGTTCAGCTTTAATTGTTGGTTCAAAATGAAAGCGAGTTTTTTTTCCAAAAGTGGAAGTTTAAAAGTAATCAATGTGAATAAGGGAAACTAATGTTTGAATTCACAATAATATAGAGTTGGCGCAAACATACTTACAAATAGTGAGCTTAGCACAAACAGGATACTTAACACCGCAAGGACTGAGACCCGATGTAGGTGCACTAGCTTTTTTGAAAGGATCATTACACCATTGTTCATCATCGTAAGTGCCGTCACATGCCCAACATTCGAGAGAATATGCTAAGAAAATGAAAAACGAATTGAAAATTTAGACTCATCCAAAGATTGTTTCCTTACTTTTAATTGTTTCCCTACTTAATACGGTATTTATTTTCCTAAAAAAAATATTAGTATCCAACTTACCCGGTTGGATTGTTAAAACCCAGACAACTGCAACCACAGCGACAGCTAGCGGTCCCCTTAAGTTCATTTCAATTGATCGACTTTCTGGCTGCCTTTTAGTTTCCAAATATAATATTGTTGTTCTATTGTATTTATTTTTCTTTTAGATTATGATGAAAAGGAATTATTTTTAATTTCTTTCTTTCTTTCAACTTATTTTAGTTTTCCAATGAGAATGTTTCCTAGTGTGTTGAAAAATCCATATGATTGAATTGGCTACTGCGTTCAACGATTTTTTATTGTGATGGTCTTTGATTTTTGAAAGAGTCTCCGCCAGCTCAGCACAAAATACTGTATCATTTAGAACTTTGGTTTAGTACTATAGTATGTTAACCGAACAATAGATGGCGACGTCAGATAACATATTTCAATTGTTCGATAAAAATATATTCTATGAAAAAATTAATTTATATTTTTCATCAGAATCTTCCGTGTGTGATGAAAAACAAAACTGAACATTGAATTATTAAAAAAATGAATAAATAAAAAAACTGAACATTTTTGACTATAATTTAGTACACTGATTTGACAATTAATGAAAACATTTCAATTAGTCCGTACCGGCCCGTATATTTTTCTAAAACGATAATCTACGACAATTTTTTTTTCGTGTCAATAACTACAACAGTGATATCGATTTGGTATTTCGACCACCATTGATCATCGTTTTAGAAAAAGTACGGATCAATTGAAATCCGTCTCAACACTACACGTTCCTCTTCTCTCTTTCATCATTGTCGCTTTCACCGACCAACAGATGGCGCTGCTAGTAACAACATCAAGAAAGTACGGACCAATTGAGATCTCTCTCAACACTAGACGTTCCTTTGCTCTCTTTCTTCATCAAACTAACAAAATTGGAACAATAATAATTTGGCCAATTTATTTAATTTTTTATATATTACACAGTGGAACACATAAAAGGCAAACTCATTTCAGAGAACGCCACGTGAAAGTACCTACCGAAACAAGAACTCCTGCCAAATATTTTTAAAAAGTTTGTTCATTTGAGGATTTAATTTCCTCCGGCGTTTTTTGGCCAAAGGTGGATTTTGAACACTTTTGCAATATTTCCACACGGCTATAACTCGGTTACCCGTTATGAATATTGTTGTTTGGTCTTAATCAAAGTTGTAGGTTTTAAATCAGAGGAAAAAAATGCAGGACAAACTTACCCCAAAAAAGGCATCTAGGGCCTCAAAATCGCAGAAATGCCCATTTTTACCATTTTTCGACCATGACTCGCAGCTTATTCAATTTTTATGGCCACTGTCTTCATTAATTTTGTGGCCAACGTATAACTGGACAACTTTGCTCAACATACTAACCCAGAAAAATCATGTTCTATCTACCTTTTTGGCTCAAAATCACTCTTTGGTACCAAAAATGGTCATTTTGGTTGTTCACAGATGATATATTTCAGTTTTGGCGGCATGGAATTTTGAAGCTGATGTTGTTAGCTGAAAAATAAGGCTAATGCCATATGCTTTTGACGTCTGGTTGAGTAGTTATGGCTCCTCAAGTGATATTTAGTGCAAAAATAGTGCAAAAAGTTGACATGTCATCACTTGGGGAGCCATAACTTTCCAACTGGACATCATAGGTAAATTGTATTGGCCCTATTGTTTAGTTGTGAACATAAGCTTTAGTGAAGCATACATTAGAAACTGAAATGTGGCTGTTTTCATGACTTCATTTGGCCAAATGTCCACCAAACGCTCAAAAATTGGTCCAAAACTCGAAATATCCCTACAAATGAGTGAACTTTTCCACTAAAATAGCTAGAAAACAAGTTCACATTATCCATGGAGACACTCTAACAAAAATTCAAGCGAAAAATATGGAAAGATATACAGATATTTGCATGTAATAGGCCAAAATTCACAACAAAATGACCATTTTTGGTACCAAAGAGTGATTTTGAGCCAAAAAGGTACATAGAACATGATTTCTCTGGGTTAGTATGTTGAGCAAAGTTGTCCAGTTATACGTTGGCCACAAAATTGCTGAAAATACTGGCCATAAAAATTGAATACGCTGCGAGTTATGGTTGAAAATTGGTAAATAATGGGCATTTTTGCGATTTTGAGGCCCTAGATGCCTTTTTTGGGGTAAGTTTGTCCTGCATTTTTTTCCTCTGATTTAATACCTACAACTTTGATTAGACCAAACAACAATATTCATAACGGGTAACCGAGTTATAGCCGTGTGGAAATATTGAAAAAGTGCTCAAAATCCACCTTTGGCCAAAAAACGCCGGAGAAAATTAAATCCTTTGAACAAAGTTTTTAAACATATTTGGCAGGAGTTCTTGTTTCGGTAAGTACTTTCACGTGGAGTTCTCAGAAATGAGTTTGCCTTCCATGACTTGAAAAATGTTGCACTGTGTTATTAAATACATGATATTTCAAATGAAATTCAACGGAAAAAAATTAAATAAATCGGCCAAATTATTATTGTTCCAATTTTGTTAGTTTGATGAAGAAAGAGAGCAAAGGAACGTCTAGTGTTGAGAGAGATTTCAATTGGTCCGTACTTTCTTGATGTTGTTACTAGCTGCGCCATCTGTTGGTCGGAGAAAGCGATGTAGCATTTAGTACAAATGTTATATATGTTCTAAATGATACGGAATTGGTGGAGACTCTTTCAGAACATACTACTCAGCGATGCACGTTACCAGAATTTTGGCTGGTACACAGCACATTTCACCAGTTGCGACTTCGGTCATATATTCGTTGATGCGAGTATAGTGTGAGTACGACGTGTATACATAAGGCGCGAACTAAGACGACAATTCACTTCGCAAGAATTCGACCGCTTCGCGCACACGTTGTAACTGGTAAACCGTACACACGAGCCACAGTTTGCTTTGATTCGCATGACCGAAGTAGCAAATGGTGAAATGTGCTGTATACCAGCCGATCAACTGGTGACGTGCGTCGCTGAGTATGATCAATAAATCAGCATACAGCCGTTGACAACTAATTAGAAGCGGGGATAAAATTTCAATTTTTTTCATTTATTTTTCATCTTTCGATCGGCGTGAATATTTGAATTTTTTTTTGCCAACTATGGCTGTAGTTCAACTTATATTCTCCTT